GCGTGACCGGGGCGGCTGCGTGCCCGAGAGAGGGCGGAGAGCGCGAGCTGAAGGCGCTCAGCTGCAGGGAGGGTCGAGTCCTCCAAGTGATAGTGGACGGTCTCGCAGAGATCGAGGTCGTCGCTGTGGTCGCCCTCAGGTGACAGTGGGGCAACAACGTCCTGCTCACCATACTCCAGCGCGCTGAAGCGGCGCGAGAAGTGGCGGCCCTGCTGCGTGGAGCGGCGGGGGCGACCACGAAAAGAGGAACGGCGCTGGGAAGTGTCGTGAGAGGAGGAGGAGGCGTAGCTCGTGCGCTGGGGCTGGGATGAGGAGGCGGGGTGAAGACGGGCTCGCTCTGCTGGTGGTCCCTGGCGGCCTCGTAAGCCTGTGGGGCCGATGTGAACTCGTACCGCCATAGCTCGGAGCGGTACTCGAGCAGAAGACTGGCCAAAAAACGATCGATAAGGGTAACCTCGGGGAGGAATGCCACGTCGCAAACGAGGCGGGCGTCCTGAAAGACCTGATGTGGCGATCCAGGCCGGTAGCGCCACCAGAGTCGGACCAGAGTGTAGTGACGACAGGCTCGAAGGCGTCAGTCACGTCGTATCGGGCTCCGAACCGATCCTCGAGGAACACCTGGAAATCCACGAAGGTCGGAGTCCGACCCTCACGAAGGGAGTAGGCATAGAAATCCTCCCAGGCCTCGAAAGGACCGCCACACAGGCGCGTGGAGAGGTGACCCACCCACGTCTCGGGTGTGGCGCCCATGAGCTGGAGTGTGCGGGTGGCAGACTGCAGCCACCGAGACACGCGTATGCGTGTACCGTCATACAAGGCAATGTCCGACAAGCGGATGAGTGGTGCGCCACCGTTTTGGCGGCGAGGGGATCGAGGAGCGGAGGCCTGTGCCACGGCTGAGTATGTCAGCGCAGGTCCTGAAGAAAGGGGCGCAACTGACTGTACGCCCGGGCCGCATGGGGGAGCGGCGGTGGCAACAGCGGCAGGTTGCGAGGGTGCTGCGGTAGAAGAGGTCGCAGCAACCGCGGGAGTAGGAAGAAGGTAGGAAGGAGTTGTATAGGGTGCAGGGCGCGGAAAGCGAGCCTGCATGGGAGGAAGGGT